GGGGGGAGGAGGATGAGAGGGGGAGAGAAGAGAGAGGAGGAGGAGGGGAGAGGGGGGGAGGAGGAGGAGAAAGAGGAGGGAGGGGAAAAGGAGGAGGGGAGGAGGGGGAGGAGGAGGAGGAGAAGAAGAAAAAGGAGGGAGGGGAGGAGGGGGGAAGAGGGGGGGAGGAGGATGAGAGGGGGAGAGAAGAGAGAGGAGGAGGAGGGGAGGGGGGGGAGGAGGATGAGAGGGGAGAGAAGAGAGAGGAGGAGGAGGAGGAGGGGAGAGGGGGGGAGGAGGATGAGAGGGGGAGAGAAGAGAGAGGAGGAGGAGGGGGAGGGGGGAGGAGGAAGCCAGGGGACATGAAATGGGGAAGGATGGAGGTTGGGTTGAGGCCGGCAGCACCGGGTCAGGCTGCCTGGAATGCCCCCCCAGGGAGCGAGCTGCTGAGGATTCTGGGGGCAAGGACACCACAGGGGTGGCTGTGGACAGATCCTGGCGGCAGGGGAGGCCTGGAGGGTGCTGAGCCTGAGGGCGGAGGCTGGGCCGGTCTGTGGGAAGGTTGATCACACACCCAGTTTGTTTTAGAGACAGAGCTCTCTGAATTCCCTTGATAATTCATGTCTTTCACAGAGAAAAACTCAAGCTTTTCAATATTTTTGACAAAGTTGTTCATATTCCCTAGTCCCTTGTTTTTCTTTTAATATCTGTAGGGTTTGGCCGAAACCGGTTTGGCTCAATGGATAAAGCATCAGCCTGCGGACTGAAAGGTTCTGGGTTCGATTCCGGTCAAGGGCATGTACCTTGGTTGCGGGAACATCCCTAATAGGGGGTGTGTGAGGCAGCTGATCAATGATTCTCTTCATCGAGTTTCTAACTCTCTATCCCTCTTTTCCTCTCTGTAAAAAATCAATAAAATATATATTAAAAAAATATCTGAAGGGTTTATAGTGATGCCCGTCTTTCGTGGCTGATATGGATCACTGGGGGTTTCTTGAGCAGGCTCATTGGAGATTGACCTCCTTCACTGACCTTCCAAAGAGCCAGCTTTTCCGTATTGATTCCGCATTTGAGCAAATATAACTGGTTTCGTTTGCCCTCTTCCTGACGCCTCTTGCACTGGAAATCCAGATAATCGCTCTGAAATCTTTCCTCTCCTACTAATGCACCCTGGAGCTCCACATTCCTCGTCAACACTGTTCTAGCTGCTTTTAAAGAATTTTATATGCTGTTTTCCTTATCATGCAGATAAACAGACTTGAATTTGTTTAATGATTTCTCCTTCCACCCACAGGTCAGCTAGGAGTGCATTTTTAAATTTCCCAATATTCATGCATTTTCCGGGTATCTGCTTGCTATAGATTTTGATTTACCGTACTTCTGTTGTGGCCAGAATGTAATTGTGTCTGTGCAGCCCTGCGTGTCCTGAGTGATTTCGAGCGTAAAAATAACACATTAGGGTGAAGCTCTGCAGAGAAAGGACGGGAAGGTGCAGATTCCAGAGGGAATGTTCCCAAACGTTACAGAAAAGCAGCCTCGTTTTTAAACGGGTGGAGGGGGCACATCTGTCTGTATTTTGACTCGATGCTCGGCCACAGGAAGGACAGCACGGCTGTTAAAGTGTCTCTGACATCGGCTGCCAATGACAGGACCTGCAGCTGGGAAGACGTCCAGGGAGAACTTAGGGATGGACGGGACACGCTGGTGTCCATCTCCCCCAGTTCCATTTGGGAGGTGGGCACAGAGTTTGAATGCAGCTGGGGGTCCCCTTCAGGGTGGGCAAGGCCCGTGCCTGCGGGGGCTGGGGGGGAGGAGGCGGCGACTGGGGACCTGGCCAAGGGGACGTGAGGGCGGTGGGAGGCGGGGAGGGAGCCAGTCTTGTTCGGGGAAGGGGAGGGGAGGGGAGGGGCGGAACTGGGGTGTCCCAGCCCCGGGGAGCTCGGGGTGCTGCCAGGACGTACAGGCGCTGCATTCGCCCATGAACCTTCATCTGTGTGTCCTGTACCCGGTGACCCTGTTCTTCCTCCGTTAACTCTCACACCTCACGCCCAGGCTTTCTGTACGAGCTACGCCGACAAGCCCAGAGTGCTTTGCAGGCATTGTCCTTCACTGGCCTGTCCCCTTCCCAGTCAGGCCGAAAGGAAGTGAAGGTGACCAACCTCGCCCTTTTCTTAACGTCCGAGGAGCATTTGGACACTTCCTCTGGCCTGACCCCACTGTAGCTTTTAGACTCCATCAGAATGAGGAACTCCCCCCCCAGCCCCAGTGACTTCCTCTTAGAACGCACACCACAAACTGATGTTGAATTTCCTCGTACTTTTGTCTGAATTGACCATGATTTTCGGTTAATGCTGTCAAGTTTGCTTTGAAAAACCGCTACACCAACGTGCATCTCCAAGACGCATCTGCTGTGACATGCGCAGGTGGCTGGGACCCATGTTCACAGGCGGGACGGCCTTAGCGTTTTTCTCCTTCTCAGGTGCCTCACAGAGGTGTGTCTGCTCCTTCTTCACTGGGAGAATGTGTGACGGGCAGGACTTCCTAAATGGGGGTACAATTTGTTGATGAAACTGTCGAAGTCTTAAAGATTAAACATGGAAACATAACCATGTTTATATTGCCTTTGAGAGCAAAGTTGGGGAAGACAAAGGTGCCATGTCCCTCATCTGATCTGCTCGCAGACAAAAGCCCAGGACAGGGCCAGCCTCCTCCGCCTTCGCTGGGGGCGGAGCATGGTGTGTGTGCGGGTGGGGGGGGCGGGGGGCGAGGAGGGAGAGGAGGCTTGGGGGACATGAATGGCGGCTTGACTCCAATTGCTGGGATGTTTGGAGGCAAAGTTGCTCTTTTGTAAATACATTTTCATTGATTTCAGAGAGGAAGGGAGATGGAAACACGGATGATGAGACTCCTGGACCGGCTGCCTCCTGCACACTCCGTACTGGGGGCAGAGCCTGCAGCCCAGGCCTGTGCCCTGACCAGGGCCCAACTGTGACCGGACTCCTAGGCCGACGCTCAGCCCGAGCCACGCAGGCAAGGTTGCTCTTTTCTAAATCAGACACGTCTCAGAGGAAAGCCCTTGGCCCTGACCTTCCCTGACCCCCGGGTGCTGCCTGACCAGAGCTGTCCTGTGTCCACTGGAGCGCTCCAGGGAGGACGGCCTGCTGAGGGAGGCCTGCCCACTGGAGCGCTCCCAGGAGGACGGCCTGGTGAGGAGGCCTGGCCGCGGCCATTGCTTGGATGACGAGAAGGGTTTTTAGTGGGTTTTCCACTCACGGGCCATGCAGCTGGGACTATCAGAACCTTGGACAGCACCGTGGGGGTTTCTTCTCCAAAGGACTGGTTTTATGTTAAATCTTAAAAAAAAAAAAAAAAATGTATTTTATTGATTTTTTTACAGAGAGGAAGGGAGAGGGATAGAGTCAGAAACACTGATGAGAGAGAAGCATTGATCAGCTACCTCCTGCACATCAATGAGAAACACCGATCAGCTGCCTCCTGCACACCTCCCACTGGGGATGTGACCGCAACCAAGGTACATGCCCTTGACTGGAATCGAACCCGGGACCCTTCAGTCCGCAGGCAGACGCTCTATCCACTGAGCCAAACCGGTTTCAACATTAGTGTTAAATCTTAAATGTTAAGGTTCGCCCTCAACTTCCCTGCATTTTAAGTCTCAAACGGATTCCTTCAGGTTCATGTGCAGAACTTCCCGAGGAGAGAACACGCTTTCAAAGGCCTCCTCCTGTGTGTGAAAACTGGCATTTTGTTCCAGCATCTGTAATTCATTTGTGGATAGACATTAAAAGGTAGTAAAAATACATTTAAATGACATTGAAGTCATAGGTGTTATAAGAGCAGTATGTCTATGCCTTCAAGATAACGCTAGAGACATACAAAACTTAAATTTTGATTTAAAATGTAGTGATTGAGCCCGACTGCATGGCTTAGTGGCTGAGCGTTGACCTATGAACCAGGAGGTGTCAGTTCTATTCCGGGTCAGGACACACGCTCAGGTTGTGGGCTCAATCCCCAGTGTGGGGTGTGAAGGAGGCAGCCGATCAATGATTCTCTCTCATCACTGATGTTTCTCTCTCACTCCCCCTTTACCTTCCTCTCTGAAACCAACACAAATATATTTAAAAATTTTTTTAAATTAAAAGAATTTTCTAATTGGTAACCCAAATGACCACAATCATTTCTCTATCTCCCATTTTGCAAGCAGACATCTGAGTAATTTGCAAAGCCATGTTGTTAGATTTATAAGTTATTGAACACAAGATGCATCTCAGTATTAGCATCCCTCAAAAACCCCAACCCAGGAGATGTGTTAATGTGGATCTACACACACGCGTTTATACATATACGAAGAACTCACTAGTATGTTACTAAAACCGTAACAAAGGTGTTTCTGAAACACCAGCGTCTGCTGTGCAGGGACTTGGTGAACGTCACCTGTAAGGATGGGGACTTGATGGTGGGCAGAAGCCTCGCCTGCAGCGTTAGCCCTGAGAGGCCTCGCCGGTTTGCCCTTGGCAGCTCGCTCTAGGGAGGCGGCCTGCCCCCTTCTCCTCTCTCCTCAATGGCGGACGGAGGCGGAGATGTAACCCTCGGCAGCGTGTGAAGCGGTGCTCAGCGCTGTCGCGGGCGGAGGGCGGCAGCTGCTGTGGGAATTAATGTGCCGGAGTATCTGCAGCCACAATGCGGTCAGCGGGCTCCCTGCGAGCCCCCTCCCCCCGTCTTCCCACAGCTCCCTTTATGGCCGTCTGTGCGGTGCCCGGGGTGCACACAGCCATGAGGGCGCAGTGTCTATGCAGCCTGTTCAAAGGGAGGGACCCCGCTGGGTCCCCTCCACCCGCCTCCATCCAGAGAACCGTTTAACTCCTTGTGCCCCAGGACAGAAGGCCGCTCTGGTTTGGAATTCTGCAATGGCTCCTCCCTGGTGGGATGCCACAGACAGAGAAACAAGTGCTGCTTGCCGATCCTGGAGGCTGACACTTCACAGAGCGACACAGGACACGGAGCACAGCGGACAGCCTTTATTCATGCTCAGGCTGCTTACAAAGCGTCAGGGCGGGACAGAGGGTGCGGAGGCGCGGACTTCGGGACAGCGTGGCTGGGCGTCTGCTGGCTCTGCTGCTCTGACTGGAAGGCCCCTCAGGCTGTGCAGGCGCTCTGGGGGTCTGACTGGGATCAGGCTGGTGGGGTGAGCTTCCCACACGGCCATGACCTCCCAGCAGAGGTCCCGACGGCCTCAGACTGGTGCTCACTCACCCAGTTCTACTCTACGAAGAAGACAGAGAAGGTAAAGCGGACGGACAGACAGGTCCGGGTCAAGTCGCCATCGGAGACCGGGCTCCCGGAGGACAGCCGTCCCGGACGCAGACCGCCCCGGGCACCACGGGCCGGCCGGCGAGCCAGCAGGGCTCCACACGGGCCCGAGGAGCCTGTTCCGGGACGTCCGGAGCCGGAAGAGTTAACGGCCTCTCGGCTCCCGCGGAATTCCGAGGGCAGCGCGGTGCCGGCGCAGAGGGAGGGCGCGGGGCTCTCTTCAGCATCTCTCGAATTAATTAGCTGGAAACGGTCTTGTCCGTGCTTGGAGGGGCGGAAGGGAGAGAAGCGGCGGGAATGGATCGGTGAGCGCTGCCAGCTGCCGGGCTCGGGAGACCCGCGGGGGAACAAAGGGGGCAAACGGGACCCCAGCCCGCGCCTCCCCCCGGCGGCCTCACGGAGCCCGAGTGCCCGTGGCCAGGGGACGGGCGGCGGACGCTAGGGCTTAAAGCACAGAAACAACAGAACACGCATGTACTCTCACGTTGACACAGAAACACATGAACGCTAGATCTAAGCATGACGAGCTCCTGAATCGGGCCGAGTCTTCACACACTGCACTTTCCGGACGCCAGGCTCCGGGGAGGCCGTCACTGCGGGGAGAGAGAACTGCGTGGAAGCACCCGTTTCCGAGTCACAGGTGTGTGTGTGTGTGTGTGTGTGCAGCAGGAGCCGCCTCTGCACCCATCTCCCCCCGCATGAGCCCGACATTGAACTCGTCAGAAACGACAGCCGGGAATCTGGCGGCCGTGGGTGTCAGGCCGCCTTCCCATTCTGGGGGTGCTGCGCTCCCCCCTCCCCCTTCCCAAGCCGAACCCTGCTGTCCGAGGTGCCGGAGGGGGGACCTCCCTGCGGCTTACTCACCGGCGGGGGGGTGCTGGTGGCTTTCAGAACCAGCTTGTCACCGCTCTTCTCCACTTCGAACCCCATCTTCTTCAGCAGGGACGTGTCGGCCAGGCCCTGCTCCTCCATCTTGGCGATGAGGTCCTGGTTCTGGCTGTGGTCCTCGGTGAGGTTCCGGATGGCGTACACCACCCACTGCGTCAGGACTGGCTCCGAGTGAAGGAAGCTGCCGCACGTGTGCGAGGGCCCCGCACCGACTCACGGACGCTTTTCTGGAGGCTGTGCTACAACTATGCATCCCAAGCGGAAACACACACAACAGGGCATCACACGTGTGCTGATGAATGGACGCAGAAGCGAAGGCGCAGAGTAGCCACTCTGAGGTTTACGAACACGGGAATGTGCACTCATGCACACACACACATGCACGCACATACACACACGGAAAGGACGAGAACGTCACCGGACCAGACAAGGAACCATCTCTCCAAAGGCAAGCCCACTGAGGAGCAAGGTGGTTTCCCAGGAGCCGCGTGGCATCCCCATTCCCGCGTCCAGTGCCGCCAAGAACCTGCCAAGGTGTGCTCCCAGCCGCCTGCCGCCCCCACCTTCACATGCTGTGCACGCAGCCCCCACAGCGACCTTTGTCCCTGAGCCATGCACACCTCCCCCGCCACCCCCGTGTAAGGGTGGGGGGCCACACCTACCAGATGCCCATACCCCAGCTCTGGCTCAGTCCCCACACGACACGGATCACGGATACGCAATGTGAGCTGACCACCTGTGTATGGCTGCCTGCCCAGCGCCCAGCTGAACCTCCTCAGCAAGGGGATCCCTTATTCCCCCCGGCCCTGCTCCAGCCCAGTGCTGGCAAGTGTCTGCCCGTGTCCCTGTCAACGGGGAGCGTGTCTCCCACTCCCTGTGGGCAGGGCCAGGGCACCACAGACCCACAGCCCTGACTCAGGCTCCGCAGGGCTGAGATTAGAGGAGAGCAAACCAGGCAGACGCTGAGCTGTGCCCATAAAAGGCCCTGACAACAACCTCAGAGGCCACGCGGACGGGCACAGCGTGGACCTGAATCATGTTCGTCTGGGAAGACAGCACCACATTTGTGAAAACACTGCTGTTTGTTTTTTCTCATTTCACCGGAGGCCGAGGCACCGCGTTCCTGAGGACGGGCCTTCCTTCCCGCTGCCACCGGCCTCCCTCCAGCACCCGGACCCGCTTCCCTCGCAGCTCGGCTTTGCCCGGAAGGACCTCCGGTCTAATTAGCATATTATGCTTTTATTAGTATAGATTGCTTTCAGAGAGGAAGGGAGAGGAGAGAGAAATATCAATGATGAGGAAGAATCATTGATCAGCTGCCTCCTGCATCGCCCCTCACTGGGGCCTGAGCCCACAACTGGGGCCTGTGCCCGGACTGGGAATTGAACTGTGAGCTCGGTTCCTAGGCTGACGCTCAGCCACTGAGCCACGCTGGCCAGGCTGTTATGGTATTTTAATGGCATTTCACTCACGAAGGGTCTGGGGGCTAATTTCTGCGGAGAAGCTGACCCGACCCCCATCTGACTCCAGCAGGAGCGCAGAGGTGGGAGCCGACCCAGCACCAGGGGCCCGGGGAGCGGACCCCCCCAGAGCAGCCCTGAACGCACCGTGGAGGCCAGGGGCCCGGGGAGCGGACACCCGCAGAGCAGCCCTGATCGCACTGAGGAGGCCAGGGGCCCGGGGAGCGGACACCCCCAGAGCAGCCCTGAACGCACCGAGGCGGCCAGGGGCCCGGGGAGCGGACACCCGCAGAGAGGCGCTTCCTGCCTGCCACGGCTGGTCTCGGGGGACACGAGGGGCAGGGGAGGGAGCGGAGCTTCTCGGCACCTTGAACACCAGAAAGAACAGACGTGTGTCCGCATTCTTACCCACGTGAACTAACCCCGCTTCCTCTGTGAGGAGGGCCGTGCCCTGGAGCGCTGTGTGTGTGTGTGTGTGTGTGTGTGTATACACACACAATGTGTATGTGATTTGGTATATGTGCTATTTTGTATTGACAGCAAGCTTCTAAACTTCCTGTCAAATTTGCTGAAGGTGTTAACATCATATTTTTATGCTTAAAAATGTTCAATTTTGTGCCAAAAAAGAGCATTTGTGGGAAGTCTTAATTCATTATTTTGAAGAAAAAGTTATCGGAAAGCTTATGGTGAACATGCTCCACTTCAATATACTTGTGAACGCTGGTTTAAACGCTTTAAAAGTGGTGATTCTGATGTGAAAGACAAAGAACGTCCAGGTCAACAAAAAAAGTTTCAAGACCAACAATTGCAAGCATTATTGATGAAGATGCGTGTAAAACTCAAAAACAACTTGCAGAAAGATTAAGCGTTGCTCAGCAAGCAATTTCAGGTCGTTTACAAGCAACGGGAAGGATTTTAAAGGAAGGAAATCAACTGAACGAAAGACAAATGGAAAACCTAAAAGTCATCAGTAAAATGTTGCTTCAATGGCAAGAAAGTCTTTTTTGCATCGAACTGTAATGGCGATGAAAAGTAGATTTATCTTGAGAATCCCAAATGCACTAATCGTGGGTTGATCCAGATCAACCATCAACATTGACTACAAGGCCAAATCTCTTCAGAAAGAAGACAATGCTCTGTGTTTGGTGGGATCAGGAAGGTGTGGTGTATTATGAGCATCTAAAACCAGGTGAAACTGTTAATACTGATCACTACCGACAACAATCAACTTGAACCACACTTTGATCGTGAAACCACCACAATGGGCCAGAAGACACAACAAAGTAATTTTGCCTCATGATGATGCCATCACACACCTCAAAACCATTTGAAGATGCGTTGAAAGATCTTGCCTGGGAAGTATGAACCCACCGCCGTATTCACCAGCCCTCGCTCCTTCAGATGACCACTTGCTCCGATTGATGGCACACGCACTTTCTGAGCAGCACCTCAAAACATACGAAGAAGTGGAAAATGGGGTCTCTGAATGGCTTGCCTCAAAACAAAAGTTCTATTTGGCCGAGACCGGTTTGGCTCAATGGATAGAGCGTCGGCTTGGGGACTGAAGAGTCCCGGGTTCGATTCCGGTCAAGGGCACGACGTACCTTGGTTGCGGGCATATCCCCAGTGGGGAGTGTGCAAGAGGCAGCTGATCGATGACTCTCTCTCATCGATGTTTCTAACTCTCTATCTCTCTCCCTTCCTCTCTGTACAAAATCAAAAAAAAAAAAAAAAAAGTTCTATTTGGATGGTATCCACAAATTACCTGAAAGATGGGGAAATGAGTAGCCAGCGATGGACATTACTTTGAATAAAGCACTTTTGATGTATCTCTTGAAATTATTGTGTTTTCTTTGATTACAAAATCCCCCATTATTTACTGGTACACCTAGTATATATAACAAGCCAACGATCCTGAACACCATAAAAGACAGGTCGCCATGACACCACTGCGGCCAGCAAATCAGCCCGATCTGGATGTGGGGCTGGCCAGCAACACCCCCCAGCCTCCCCTTCCCCAAACACCATCAGCCCACCCCACCCGGATAGGCCCACAGCCCCCCCAACCTCCTGCAGCCCCTCCCCCTGGCCAGCCCCGCCCCTGATGCTCCCCACCACCCCAATTAGCCCACAGCCCCTCCCCTCAGCCAGCTCCACTACCGACCAGCCACCACCCCACACAATTGGGGGTGAGGCTGGCTGGCCAACCTCCCACAGACCCTCCCCACAGCTTGCCTGCCCCCAACCAGCCCCCTCACCCCAAGTGGGGCAGAGCCCGCAAGCCAGCTGTCCCGGCCAGCCAACCTCCCGGTCTCCTCCCCAGGACAGGCCCGCTAGGCAGCTGGACCCCACCCGTGCACTGGCCTCTAGTTTATCTACAATGTAACACCTCACGACAGAGAGGATGAAGCTGATGCCCATGTGTCCTCTGATTGTCCCCACGTCAAGAGGACATTACAGAAGTACAGTCTAGGGTCTCCAACTTCATCGTAAAGTAAAAACCAAGCCTTAGTCGTCGTTCCTTTGATAAAACCAGCCGGCAAGAGAAACGGTGCAATAGAGCCCTTATGTGCTGCCCCTCTCCCCGCCCCCGCCCCCGCCCCCGCCCGGCTCATGGAAACGAGGCCTCCGGCGTCTGTGGGACCCAGACCCTCGAGTGTGACGGAGAGCAAGCGGTCCCTCCCAGTTAATATTCACACTGCCCCCTTGTTCCCTCTCCACAGACAGCAGAAAGGAAGGGGGGAATTAAACAGCTTCTAAAGCTCTAATCCACCGGTACTTCAAGCGCTTTCTTGTGTGCTCGCTCCAGGAACAGCGCTTTGAACGTTGCCATAGCGACTGCAAATAGAGGCAGGGGCCTGGTCACAGCCTCGGGGAAGCACCTGCAGCCAGGCTGGAGGACACCATGAGGCCCTTGGGTGTCTCCAAACAGCCCAGACGACAGGGAGGCAGCCGGGGGATGGCTGAGCCTGGGGGGGGTGTGTGTGTGTGAGAGGCCTGGGATGGCTGAGCCTGGGGGGGGGGGGAGGGAGAGAAAGCCCGGGGATGGCTAAGCCTGGGGGGGGGGGAGGGGGAAAGCCAGGGGATGGCTAAGCCTGGGGGCAGGGGAGACAGCCCCGGGGATGGCTGAGCCTGGGGGGGAGGTGAGTCCCAAGGATGGGTGAGCCGGTGGGGGTGTGTGCAGGAGGCAGATGATCAATGATTCTCTCTCATCATTGATGTCTGTCTCTCTCCCCACCCCTCTGAATTCATAAAAACATATTTTTTAAAAAGTGCTCACTGAAAAATATGTTATTTAAATTAAAGACATTTAAATATTAAAAGATTTTACTCACTTCCCAGGATATGCATGTATGTATGTGTATATATACTTTGTCTACAGATGTATAATGCGTCTGTATTTAGTGCTTTATATAACATCTATGTTTAATTTCTGCTTCCAAGATAGGTTTTTTAGAATTGTTTTAGACACCACGCCCACTGCTGGCGAGGGTCTGCGCACTGCCCACCCTCCAGTGCCCGGGCCCACTGCAGACCCTCTGTGGAAGGCCGGAGCCAGGCTGCTCGGTGCCAGGCAGCCCGGCCTCCCAGTCTCACAGAGCCACGGGGTGACGAGCGGAGGGAGCTCATAGTCCGTCTCTAAACGAGTGTGCTCCCGGACCGAGCAGGCCTGCAGAACTTTCCAGAGCATGAAGAAGAGG